GAAACATTATCAACAAACAAGCAATATTGCCTTCATTTGAAAAATGTTATAAAATGTTAACCAAAACCAAATGATATCCATTCAAATCATTGTTGTTAAAAACATAGGAGGGAAATGTCAAACAATTCAGATTTGGGCAAAGTATGGGTACAGTAAAATAGAATGCTGTGGGAAATGGTTAGCCATCTTTCATTACAGTAAAAATAAAATAAACAGAAGATAATATTTCTTCTTGAGGATGTTCTATATTCAGTTTGGCATGGCAGATTGTGCATTGAACAAAGGGTTGAACAGATCACAACTGTAAGCCTCAGAGCTGTGGGTAGCTGCTGGAAATCCTGGGTGCAGTCCTCAGATCTTTATAAAACAGCCTTTCAGTTAGACAACAAAAATGATTTATTTAGAATGATAAGTATATAAATATGCATCTTTTTATGCTTTTCCCAGAAGAGCTTATTCCTCAGCTACCATCTGCTTCTGTTCTTTCTGTTGCTATAAAAGACATGGTGCCACCTTCTCCTATTTGGTTATGATTACCTTTCATTGCTTTTCTCTTCAAGTCATAAACTGTAAGTAATTCTCTAATACAAAAACAACAATAACGAATTATCAATGAGTACACCATTAATCACCCTGAAGAGCATCTGGGGTGGGGGTAGGATATGATCAATTATTCTTTGTGACCAGGGAATCGGGGTGGGGATTATTTTGCTTGAAAAATCCATTGCCTTTTCTACTTAAAACAAATAAGGCGGAAGTTTTCAGATCATTCTGCTTTCTGAACATCAAGTCCAACTTAATGTCGTTTTTAAATGGTCAAGGCCACAATGGTTCAAGTGGATAGATGCTGCTATCCTTTTGTTGTATCTCAGTCCCATAATTTTGGTTTATTGGCAAGTTTATCTCACTTGGCCCTGTTGCTAGAAGTTTTTGTGAATTGTGAATTTCTTGAAATTCCTGAAACTCAACCACAAGCACGTTATGCTCTCTTTGCTTGAACCGTTGTGGTCTTGATCACTTAAAATCAGGACATTTAATACTTCTGCACCATTCTTGGTCCCAACTATTGTTTCTTAACATCTAATTTAAATAATATGGTACACAGCAATGCAATTGTAGAAAGACAAACATTCCATGATGATTATGAAAGTACAATTTATATGCTGCTTTTGCAATCAATATAAAGTTCCATGAAATCATGCCAATGAGAGTCAAAGATGCTTTTCAAAAGGCAACTGGACTTTCTTTTTTTTTCAGTTGCCTTTTGAAAAGCACCTTTGGGATAATCATGACCTGGATGGCTGAGAATCTCCACAGATGTGTCCAGTGAGAATACAAGTTTCCAAGGCTGAAACTGTAAGTTATTTATTGGCAAGGATAGGAATTGCTCTGTAACATATATGGCTCAGCATGGATACTCCGTTTTCTCATTGGCTTGTGGATTGTGGGGTTGTTTTTCCTAAAGACAATACAGTAAACATTACAAATATTTTATGATTAAACTGGGAGTCATTGAATCATTTACTGGTGAAACAGAAGCACTGGATATGAAATGGTGCCTTCTTTAAAGAGTTGAGGAGGATTTTTTTTTTAAAAGCACCTATTTCTTTGTGAGACCTAAGTGCATTGTAGCATACGCTTCTTAGCCCGGGAGTTTATTTATCCAACCAATTAATGCAGGGCTGTCAAACTTCTGGCCCATGGGCCAGATGCATCACGTGCTGGCCACACCAGGTTTAGCAAAGGGGGAAAAAGTCCCGATACATCACTTGACACTGCTGTGAGTTTAACACCCCTGGATTAGTGTATGTTTGTATGCATGCTTGTAAGCATTTAATATTCCTTATTATTCCAAGTTACAAAGTTCCCTAAGCAATGTAAACATTTATTAACACCAGCACTAATGATGTTATCTAGCTGGGTAATGAAGCATCAACAAGAAAACAAACAAGCTCAGAGAGCACCAAGGACCACTCATTTCAACCCTAAACCACAAATATTCTCCCTTACTGGCATTTACTGCAAGGGATACACAGAAGAGGAAGCAGAATCTGTAGGCAGATTTTGAAATCATGGATTTTATTAGCTTATGTATCAATTTAAATAATGCTTTCCCTACTTTGCCAGACTTATGAGGGCATAGAGTTGATTTCCCCAACCCCATGTTCATTTATATTGGGATGTTTTGCAATTTTTTTATACTTTCTGAACACAAAAGAAAACTGCAGATTGAGCTATTTCTTCACACTGGCAGCATTCAGCCCTGTTAAGAAAACATTCTGCCATGCTACCTATCCTTTCTTGTAGCAAATACTTCTAAAACAGTAATTCTGAACCTTGGCAACTTTAAAGGTATCTCGACTTCAATTCCCAGGGTTCCTCAGTCAGACACAATTTTTTTTTGCCACGGGTACAAGCTAGAATCCTTCATGGATGGCCTAATTGCTTGACATGGTTGAGGATATGATCTGGCCAGCTCCCACCAGCCACTTTAGGCAACACTTCTCCCTTCTCTTTGCTAGGATTTGACCTCTATGACCAATTTGGTGTGGGCTGCTGGAAAGATTGTGTTGATGAGGAACCTAATAATTGCCTTGAGGGAACATATATTCAGAAGGTGCAATTTCCTGAGGACTCCTTTAGGGCCCTGGAAAGCCCCCAAGAAACCTTCCACAGCCACAAAGGGCAAGCTTGGCTATTTCTATACTTCTTTATCTTAACTACTGGATGCCTGCTTATCTTATGTGACAAAGAGATAGCAAATAAAACATATAAATACATGTCTCATCTTCTGTTCAGGATTCCCATCTGCTTAGAAGCCATTATTCAGCTGAAACAGCAGGACTCGTCTTTATTTTACTGAGCCATATCTGAAAATAGTTAAAACAGCTGGGCACTTGATTTCGGTAGAACCACCTATCTGTATACCTTATGTAGGTTCCTTATCAACAGAGGTTTAGCTATTTTTTTTTTTTTGAAAAAGCACTGTATCTCTGAGGCTTGATACTCTTGGAAGTCCACTAGACTTGTGTTTAAAAAACAAGTAAATGTTTCACAGATGGTTTATTTAAACTTGGAAAGAAAACTGCATTCTGCCAGCTGTGTGTTGTTGGTACTATCACTGTTGTGCACATCAAAAGTTTTCTACTGCTTTTGCTGACACGTGGTTGTATGTTATGTGGCTGCAGTTGTCACTGTTTTTATTATGTGCCAATGGGTGGGAAAGCATTTTGCCTTATGCATTCTGACTTGTCTCTAGCCTGTTTCTGGGTGCTGCCAACCATGAGGATCCAACTGGATTCATTGCTAGCACTGCCACTCACTTGCAGCAGTTGTTGAAGACAGAGCTCATTTGTCATTGTCATTGATTTTAAAAGAATTAGCGAGTGACAAATAAACATCATCTGGAGTATTTGTACTTCTTAACTTCTGTTGACTGATCACTGACATTTCCTGATAGCTAGAGATAGGAAGAAATGGCATCTCAGGAACCTGTAGTTCAAATCCATCTATTTCACAGTTGAAGATAAAGCAGAGATGCTTCTAAAAGGAAATCTGCATCAAAAACAGAAGCCCATGTGGAACAGCCCTGCGGGAAAGGAGTTGTTTTCTCTCCAGGGATGTCACAAGCATTGCCCCCCAAGACTTTTCCAATTGCCTTTTCACACAGCATTTTTATGTGGTTGTGGGATCGCCAACAACAGCTGGGTCAGAGGGTTATTTTCATAGTGATGTCAAGTTATGTAGTTTGAGAATAGTGTGCGTGTGTGTGGAAGGTGCAGTGTTTACATTACATTCCTAAATAAAAATGAAACTATTTTGGGGGGGAAATGTTTGGATTTTCAGCTTAGAAAGGAAAAGATGCAGGTTTATCACCCCGAGAAATAGGAATGGCCTATTGGGAAAATCCCTCAAATACCCTCACAGTGTGTTGTTTCAGGAGAGCCAGGAAAGCCAGGAATCCAAACTGCAGAGGGGAACCATGCCCTGATTTGACATTCAGATGAGACCCTGTTCTGTCCGTGTATTGAGAGATCAACAAGGGATTCAGATCTATGCATTTCTGAATTTTGGTGCCAGGAACCTTCTTTCTCCTGCATTGCACCTTTTCAGGTGTTTGGGGAAGGATGAATCTTGACCTCTTTCCTTTGCTTCCTCGGTGGTTTTTTTTTAAAAAATTCTTCCAAAGTGGTTGCCCACTTCAGACACTCTCAAAGCCCACCAGTCGGTCTCCTCCTTCTACCCACCCCCGCCCCGCCGGCGTCTGACCACAAGGCGTTCCTTTGTATTCCTTTCCATTGCGGAGGTAGAGCAGGAGCGCGGAGAGCAGGGAAAGAGGGCTGGTCTCCAGCAGCCAAAGCCTCGAGTTTTCTACCCGAGCTCCAAGATCCGTCCATTTGCGATATTCGTTCTTGGGAACTGGGAGGGGGCGCCTTCAAGATTAAAGGCGGCGGCGGCGGCAGCGGAGGGGGACACGCGCTCGCACTAACCTGCCTGTCTCTCTGATGGCCAGAATGATGCTCGGGTGACTTAATCCCCCCTCCCTCCGCTCCCCCTTCCCCGGGCTGTTCGAGCAGCTCAGTCCCCCCGCCCCGCCCCCTGCGTTGCGTCTGGAGGGGGACAATCGGCATATTTTTAAACCGGAGAAGGGCGGGAGGGGATGGGAAAGCCAGCCGGGGACTGGGAAGGCGCCTCGGGGGCCGAGCGAGAGATGGGCAGCGGGGGGCGGAAGAGAGAGGGAGGGCTCCGCTTGCACGCACGGCTTTGAATGACTGCCGCAGTTTAGGCAGCCGGCTGACCTGCCAGGCGCGCCACAGCCAAGGGGGGGGGGCGGGGAGGGAATCGAAGCTCTCCCGATCGCCGATTCCTCTACCCCCATTAGCATCGGGCTCCCTCTTTGGATGGTGCAAGGCTTCCAGCAGGAGGAGGAGGAGGGAGGAGGAGGAGACGGGGGAGGAGCTTTGATCATATTATTATCATCATCATCATTATTACCATCCTCATCATTAGCATTGGAAGATTTATTTTATTTTTCTGCGGGAAGTGATTTCCCTCGCGGCTGGGAACCCCAGCAACCTGGGCGCTCGCTTGCCCTGCCGCCGCTACTACCCTCCGCACCCCCGTTTGTTGCTGGCTCGCCCCCTCCCACCCCTGCAGAGGCTGCGCTGCTGCTGCCGCCGGGGCGGAGGGCGGGAGGTGGCGGGCTCTCACCCGGGCTGAGCCATGCCGGGGGGCGGCCGTGGTTGCCAGAATCAGGAATGGGGCGAGACGTCGCTGAGGATCCCCACATCTTTCCACCGGGGGCCCAGGAGGCAGAGGAATCGCCGCCGCCGCCGCCGCTACTGCTGCTGAAAGACAACGGGCGATGGGTGAGTACGAGAAGGCTCAGCAATCCCCCCCCCCATCCCCGGGGAAGGGACCCTCGGCTTCACTTCCCTCTCCACGGCTAATCTCAGCCTTACCCCTTATTTCTCCCGACCCCTTTACTGACTCCTCCTGCCCCTCGTCTCCCCTTCTGTCACCTTTGCCGGCCTCCTTCCCTTCCATTTTCCCTTTTGTCTTCTAGTTCCATCCCATGCAGTCCCCCACCCCCTCCGGCCTTCCCTCGTCTCCCCCCACCCCCATTGCTGGCTCCTTTCCCTTGCCCTCTTCCTTAGGCGCCCCTTCCTACTGGTGCAATCCCAGCTCTCCTTTCCCATCTTCTTTGTGTTGGATTAGGAAAGGGATGGAGAACAGAAGGCTTCCTGGGAGAAGAGTGCTGAGGTGTTCAGAGAAGGAGCAGGGAAGGTGGAAGGGGATGGCTCCAGATTGGCCAGTTCCTTGAAGCTTAGGCATTCGGAGAATGAGTCCTCCTAGCCTGGCTTTCTTCTACTTGGGACTTTCCATAATGGACAGCAGCCTTTGTGGCCTTGTTGGCCAAGAATAATGGGGGGTTTGCCCCTATTCATTCCAAAGATGCCAAGTGCAGGAAGCTCTCCTAGAGATCTACTGAAAAATCCCCTCATGAATTCCTTTTCTTATCGGTATTTAACAACCAAAACGATTGTGTATACATGTGCCTGGGATAACATCTCTAAATCTCCAGATGATCTCTGATTCCTTGCAGCTGCCTGGCTAGTCAAGGCAGGCTGAATTTGGGAACTTCATGAACTGGAAAGCCAAGGTTGATTACAAACCTCCTCTGCTTTGCTTTCCCTCTCTAGAAAGACATTTAAACTCCAAGGAAGGTGGCCATCAGTGCTGCAGAAAGGGCCTGTGTATTCCTAGCTTCCCTGTGCCAGGATGCCACTCATGGTGCATTTGTGTCCAGTCTGCAGTATTAGGTGGGCAGCAAATGGGTGTTCAGAGTCAGTTCAATCCCAGAAATGATACAGAATAAACAGGCACAGAGACTGTCCTCTCCTACCTACTTACCCTTTCCTTAGCTTAATTCTTTAAAAACCTGGAACAGAATTTAATAGCCAGGCTATGTATCTTTCCTTCATTGGTCATTGGTAATGCTTTAGAGTTGGCTTGGTTGACCAGTCTGTCTACTTTTTGATTTTGCCTAAGTACCTGTCATATTGTTCAGCTTCTGCCTGGGATATATGATTGTCTGCACTAGCACAGCCAAGGTGTTGCAATCAGGAAGCTGAATGTGTGCTGCAGCTATAGATGTATTTAGGCAGCATGGAGAAAGAGAGTCCAAACCAGGAAGAGGGATGGAAGAGAGAGAAAATGGATTACTTGTTTTCTTCTGGGACTTTCGGTGGAAGGAATTTGAGTCACATTGAAAATAACCTTTTATCATCTCATGAAGGGCTAGCAAAAATTTTAAGAAGTGAATAGCTCAAAAAGATAAAGCTCAAATGATTAGCAGAGTTGTCCAGATGATTTGTACTATATGTTCCTAGTACTTCACATAGTTCTTTCAGCAGTCTTAAAAGCAGCTCCAGGAACTAGATTACTACTATTATTTCCATATAATAGAGGAGAGTTGAGGTTGGTGGTGACAAGCCTAAGGGAGTTAATGAGTTCATGATAGTTTTATACCAGGGCTGTTTGACAAATGTCTGACAGCTTTTGCCAATCAGTCACTTTTCAGACGTGCTAGGCTAGCAATTTACAGAATAACCTACACATCTGGAAAGCTTTATGCTGAAGAAGGCCAATTTCTGGGTTGGTTTCCAAGTTGACATTTCCCATAGAAATAAGTTCTTAATGACTAGGACATAACTATTCAAACATTTAAAAAGCATAAGTGAGAGTCACAATAGCCAATGAAATAAATTTATTTCTCGTGTTAGATTGAAACATATGCCAGTTATCACTTAATAGTTCAATCATCACATGATGAATGTATAAATCAAGGGTCTTCAAACTTGGCAACTTTAAGACTTGTGGACTTCAACTCCCATAACTCCTGAGCTAACATGACTGGAGGAGTAATTCTGGGAGTTGAAGTCCACAAATCTTAAAGTTGCCCAGTTTGGGGACCCCTGGTCTATAGTGACCTTTACTTTCTAGGAAACTTTGCTTTTCTTTCTTTTTTACTTCTTAATCTAGTTTACAGATTTGGGATTGCTGGTGTTTTCCCACCCAGGTATTGAATATATCTAAACTTGCATAGCAGCCGAAGTGAATTATGTGTTGCCCTTTACTTTTATGTAATTTCAATTTTAATTAAAACAATGGAGGGAACATAGTTACACAGTTAAAACTGACTCAGCCACCAATACTAATAACTCTCCTAGCAGTGAACTCAGGAGCACAGGGACTGGCACCAAACTGCTTTCTAGTCACGCCCTCATTCCATGAAATGTCCATGCCACACCCTTAGCATTTATTTTGAGGCATGATCTCATGTTACCTGGAACTTCCTCATGAAAGTATTTCCATTGTTACCACTTTTTCTATTTGGGAAGAACAACATTTTAGTTATCACACCAATTCTGCCTGATACGACATTGTATGGGAAGATTTATATCAGCCAAAAATCTAGGCCCAGATTTGAAAATAAATAGTATATCGCGTACCCCTTCCTCCTTAACTTGGAAGATCTGGAAATAGGAAAGCAAGAATATCATTGCCTGAATATACATTTTCTTTTTTTCATTCTAGTAATCTTGGGTCAAGCAGGTCTTGCATTGGTTCAAAAACTTGCAAAACCTGTTCCAGAGTTCATAATGAATTAGAATATAACAAACAAATCATAGGTTTATTAGCATCATCTTCAAATCTCTGAACAATTGGAGCAGGAGAAGAAGAATAGTAGCATCTTATTGTCAAATGAGTAAGGCGGTTACTTTTGGTGAGACAGTCAAGGAGGAAAAGTCCATGCCTTTTCCATTCTTGATGCCCTCTGAGAATCCTTGAGTTTCTGCAGTGAAAGCTGATGAACAGTAGATTTGGAATGATGCCTAAGACTGTCACAGGCCACGGGAACACTACCAAATTACTATCTGTATTTCTTTATTCAAGGTGATTTGCTTGCGAAGGTAGAATATCCTTTCCAGCTGGGATGCTCTTAACACTGTTCTTCCCCTAATGTGGATTCTTTAAATATAAAGGAAACATGACAGAGGCCAGTTGTTCTGCCAGTGACATCTCTGCTTGTGGGCAAGTCAGATTTTTCTCAGATTGCATTAGAAGCAGCTGCTTGGACATCAATCATGTTTCACTGAGTCGACAGGAACCTGGCCTACTTTAAATGCTATGGTCTCCTCTAAGCACACTTCATTTACTTTACGGCCTTCCTTAAAGAATATGTGAGATAGATAGATAGATAGATAGATAGATAGATAGATAGATAGATGATAGATAGATAGATACTGCATGATATATCCTATTATGAAGATTTATCTGATTGAGATCAGATAAATTAGATGTGCATATGCATAAAAATATGGTTACCTTGTCAAGTATAAGACCAAAAACCACATCAAGTTTGTCAAGAATTGGGGTCCTCAAGTAGCTGCATAATTTTTCGGGTTAGGAGCAAATTGTTGCCTTGTGCATGCCTAAGAATTGTTTTTTTCCAAACATCTTTATGCTGTATATAATTATACAATTCTATGTATATACAGGAATTTCTAAATATATCCTTGTATAATAAGTTGCAATATATTCCTATGCTGTGCTATATCCACAAAGCACCAAGAGAGAAATGCTGATTAAAATGGCTGGTAATTGCAGAAGACATACTGAATGATGTGAGCAGCTTCTTCTGATAGGAAGAAGCTTTCTGCAATTATGGACAAACAAAATCTTGATCATTTATTTTCCCCCCCAACTTTTCTCTGTTTTGAGCAAAGCTTCAGCTGCTGAATTTCTTTGTCATGTAGCTAAAGTTCTGCCCCAGTACAAAATGCAGAAGGCTCAGTGTGAAAAAAAATAGCAATCCTAAAAGAAAAGGAAACAAAGCAGTTCATGGAATTATAGTAGGTTTTTGACTTCAGTAGATAGATTTGGGAAAAGAAGATCAAAACATTGGAAGTCTTTCTCTACTCCTATACTGATCCTTGTAGGTATTTGATCTTTGTAGGAATAAACAACTTGCTTTGCCTCATTTTCTTGTCTGGCTATTCTGTTGAGAGTATGGAATATATCCAACTTAAGACTCTTCATCAGCGTTGGACTTATGTCCTGACCAGTGAGTATGATAGCTAATTGGAAGTTGAAGCCCAAAAATATATGAAAGGCAATTGGACAAGTTGGCATTTTTCTGATGGACATATACTCATCTGAGGTACACCAACATATTTTGATCCTAAAGTTACCCCTCTCTCATTGTTGTAGTTCCAAGGGTTGTATTTTTATATCTTCAAAATATAGTTTTGATCAAATAATAAGCATAATCTGATAGTAATGTCTTTCACTTCTATGCAGCTGAACATTAAGGGGTAAACAAGGAGATGGAATAATCAGTGCTCAATAGATTTTTGGTTTTACACTTCCTGGAGAATAGTATGCATTACATTTAAAGTATTTCTTCAGCTATATATAGGATGAAGGGAGGTCTGAGTAGTGTTGACTAGGATCAAATAGTTTCCATTGAAATAAATGGAGCAGCAATTGCTAATAACTAATGCTTACTCAGGTTATGAAGACAAGGCTAGATTGTTTACTCTAAAGCAAGTTTTTTTTTTTTGTAGATTGTTGCAGTTGTAACCCAGCTACCATAGAAATACTGTTTTGAGGAAGAGGTAGAGCCTATCAAAGTTTAGCATAGCTGTGGTAAAACCATAGTGGGGGATTGTTGAGAAAGCTTAAGGGTGAGGAGTTATCTATGGGTTAGATCAAATATGCACTAAAGAGTCAGTTTTCCTTGACAACGTATCTTCTGTATTTGTACATTTGATAGTAGGGACTGCAAGATTCTCTTCCATTT